GCAGGGTTCATAGCTGATGTTGCAGGTGACTCAATGACACTGAACAACAACATACAGATTGAATAAGTATGGTAAAAGCATATAGTCCTGCTGTGTGCCTATCCCTCTTTTAAACCGTGTATCAAAGGATACTCTTTTTCTGGTGGGAATGACTGCCTCTTGGACCATGCACAGGTTTTTCATGAGCACAACTAATGTTTTGAGATCATGTTAGATGCTTGAGAAAGAATTCTAGTAAATCCATAGTTAATTAATTCAGAATTTCTTCAGCAGATTTAGCGTTTCACACCTCCTTAATCCCTGGAAAACACTAAAACCACAAGGGACTTTTATTTATCAGAGGTTTATGGTATCAATAGTCTCTAAAGCAATGAATACCAGGTCCAAGTACTATTGTAGCTAAAGGATGATTGAATTAGTTTTCTATTGTTGCTGTAGTAAATTACTGCAAACCTAGTGGTTTAGAAGAAATCCCTGAGAGGCTGTCATGTTTACAAGTGTGTTTCATCTACCAGTGAGCACTTCAGCAGGCAACACACTACTCTTCCAGGACTCCTACAATCTGTTCTTTTTTTTGCTAATTTTGTGTCTAGTGGTTGAGTGATTAACTATTCATTTCTGCCATCCAGGGCAATGTTATCTAAAAGCTGTGAGGCCTGTTTCAGTGCTTATCACAGGAGCTATTTTCTACAGATAAGCTTTCTCTCCTCATCCTATATTTAGTAATTCAAACTGTGGCTTATGAAATTGAGCAAAGCTTTGTGGTATTAAAACTGCTTAACTAAAAGTACCCCAACAACAACAAAAGCAACCAAAAACCAAACAAAAACCTCTTCACTAATGGTTACAGGAGCTCCTAATGGCAAGAAACTGCACTGCAATAACAAAAGTATGTGGTTCGAGGCCACCGGCTGTGAAATCTCCTCCCACGTGATTAACACCACTGAAAACCCGCCTGAGGGTCAGCCATGGGTCAGTTCCTCCGGCTCCAAGGTACTCAACATCAGCAATGGGTTAGGTTTAACTAAGACTTCCTTTGACAAGCTTCAAGCCTTTTTGGTGAAAATTTAAATTCTGTAATCTGAAATTAAAACAAAAAACCTATACAAATATATTTTTCCTTGTTTTGTTTTGGTTTTCTTGTGATGTCTTGTGCTATTTTACATTAATTGAACCCTGGTTTTTAGTTGTTGTTATGTGCCTTTGAGTCTCCCATGACTCTTAGCAAACCTATACACAGTTGCTCTGAACCCTGTCCTGTCCTACACCAATTTCACTGTCTCCAACACACCTGTCCTCATAGTCCCAGTTACTGTGTCAATCCACTTCATCCAGGACCATCTTCTTTTGCATTGTCCCTTTACCTTTTCCAGAACTGGTCCCTCCTGGCAACATGCACAAAGTATGTGAGACAGAGTTTCAAAATCAATGCAGCAACTTGGTTTCACCCCCTCCAAGACAGACCTGTTTGCTCTCTTGACAGTCCACGGTATGTTCAATACTCTGTTCCAGCACCACAACTCAAAGGCATGAATTTAGCTTCTATGATCCTTAATCACTGTCCATTGTTTCTCTCTCTTGTAAATGACTGTGAGTATAGGACCAGCCGGAGAGATGTGTGCTCTATCTAGTCAAAAGACGTACCCTTTCCCCCTTTCCTGTCTGCCTATTCACCCATCCTACCACTCTGAAGGCAGGTTTGAGGGCTTGGATTCTAGCTACACTCTCAGATCAAGGGAAGGGCTTGAACCCTTAGAGGTGAGGAGTAAGTTGGGAGAGGCGGCTATTCCTAAGGGCTTTGTGGGACAGAATTCTTTTACTTCTGAACTTGCATAAAAAGTTTTTTGTTTATTGTGTGTTTGAAGTCACTATTATTTAGGATTCTTCCATGCAGCCAAACATAATCCTATTTCCAATACCATGCAAGTTACTTAGTGCTTAGAACTTAGGACATGTTTTTTAAAAATAAAAAAAGAACAATGCAAAATATCTGCAATGATAATCAAATGTCTTTATTTTCTACAATTAACTTCTTACAATTGTATTGAAAAAATAGTGTCTTCAAATGTTCTTTCACTGTAAGGACGCCGACATGACCACAGATGTACTCTGAGAGAATGTGGGAGAAAAAACAACTAAAACACTTCTCACTACTTATTACTCAAAAACAAGAGATCCATTCCGGTTTTGTTTTACACAGACACACACACTGAAAGGGAAGACCCATGTGACCGAATTAGAAGCCCTTTTCCTTAGCAAAAATAATAGAGCAGAAAAGAGATATTGGTAATTAGTGATCCCATCTGAGAGATTTCTAATCCCATTTGAAATAAAGACACCTCAAAGTGTGGGAAAGTCCAACACATTGGGAAAATCTCCTCTTTGAACAATGTGTTTTTATGACTGTTGGTATTCTCTTAGATGTGAGATTCAGTCAGCATAGTATTCTGTCTGCTTAATATTCAAGTTTTGACACACTGATTACCCGCTCTACTCTTTTGAATGGATAAGTACAGTCTATAAATAAACACATCCACTTTGTTCTATTATTCCCCTTCCAGCACGCCTCACACCATTGGAATCAACCTAGAATCTACTTATCGTTAAATAAATTTTCGTTAGAAAGATACACAGCATGTGAAATTACAGAACTTTTATGAGTTAAAGATCATTTTAGAACTCTAAAATAATATTTACAGTGTAAACATCACAGTTATTACAGTAGAAGAAAATAAACCACAATATTCACAACACAGTATACTTTATTTGGTTTGGATACTGAAATTGGTTTCTTGAATACTTATGTAGAACTCAAAATATAATCACTTTATCATTTTCTTTCAAGATTTCTGGAAAAAAAAGAAGAATTGGTACATTAAGCATCCAATATTTTTTATTCACATCTTCGCATCAATCATTCATCGTCTCATTTGACAACAAACTACTTCTGCTTGTCCTCTGTGTTATCAAGTGAATACCTTCTAAAAGACTGGTTTTCAAGAAAGTAACTGAAATGTGAAGGGTCTCATGAACTGACTATGACTAATGATCTATTTGAAATTTCTTCTAATAGATTTTCAGTTAAAAGTTTAAAAAATTGTCCAAAGCCATCCTTTGAAAGAGAAGAGGGAAAATAAAAATATTGCATAACACTGCTATTATAAAATAGAACAGAGAGGGGTGAGGTGGGCAGAGAATGAGAAAAGAGTGGATAAATAAGGAACACTGAAGTAGAACAGGTGAAGGGAAGAACTGTCTGAAAGGAAGATTTGATTAGGCATTGCACATATGACTCGACAGCACATAGCAACAACAACAATAATTATACATATGAAACAATCTGGAACAAGGATGCCTTGCTGGGTGGGCTGGGGGAGGGATGCAGGGAGGGGGAGAAGAAGACGTGCAAAAAAAAGAAAATATAAATAAAGGCATAGAGAAGAATGGGGGGAAAGAATGAAAACTCACAAATGAACTTACATTGTCAAAAAGCATGAACACTCTCCATTAATATTTAAACCACCACATCATCGTTTTTAGGGAGCTCTGGTGGCCTAATGGTAAGAAACTGCACTGCAACCCCAAACGTGTGCCACCGGAAGCCACCAGCTGCTCTACAGGAGAAGGATGGGCAATTTCCTGTCGTGTAATTCTGAAAACCCGCTGGAGGGTCAACTATGAGTCCGTTCTGACTCAACAGCACACACTAACATCATCATAATTTTAATGTAAAGAAAGATTCTCCTGATAAGTATTCTTTTCAAGAAACTATTTTAAATTTTCTTCTTTGAGGAAAGGTATTTGTTTCTCTAAAACATTTGTACATAATAACATTAGCATGCGCAGCCAATGTCCCAAGACCTCCCTTAGAGAAGAAGGGGTCATCGGTGGGCAAAGGCAATCAGGCAGCTGTGTTCACAGTCAACTAGTCAATTTTTGATGACTTTCATACAAACCTTGATATTTAAGAATTCAGACAAAACCATGAATTGTCTTCAGTCTGAAAATGAAACTCATTTATCTCCTTGACCTTATTAGGAGTCAGAATCTGGCCTAAAAAGTATTATGGAAACACAGCTGTATCCATTCCTTTATATATCTTAGCTATGGCCACTTTCATACTATATTTGCAGAATTGGTTTACTGTAGCACAGAGGATACAGCCCACAAAGCCCAAAATATTTACTCTGCAGTCCTTTAGAGAAAGAGTTTGCCAACCTTGAATACAGTCATGGCAAGAATTTCTTTTAAGCATTTAGCAACTATTATAAATAGGTTGAGGGGGAAGCAGCTAATGTGAAAGTTAATCTAAAATTACTTGAGGGATAATTGTGTCTTATACCCATGTTTATATAAAAGCAGCCTTAATAACAAGCACATGACATCACAATGGGGGAGGGGGAAATCCTCTTACTATTGTTTTCATTACTCAAAACATATTTTTACCCTGAGTGTTATTAAGGCCATTATATGTCATTGTCGGTCAAACCAGATTTGACTTTTGTTGCAAGTGGTTTTTGTTTCAAGGGTTACACTTAGAACTGAGTGTTTTATATTTTCATGATGGCGAGGCATGCTGTATTGACAATGCAACTCCCTGTTCTTAAATTAAGTGAGATGATAACAGTCAACTGTAGGGCTAAACTCTCATAAAATAAAAGAAGTCAGGTCACTTTGTTTTACATTGTAACACCAGAATATATATCTAAGTCACCTAAGAAAACCATTCATAATCCAAACTGCTCATTGGGAGACTTTCCTCTTAGGTGATCTGAACATTACAAGGACAATTTTAAGATCGCCAACGAATCAGGGTCCACTTTAAGTAGAATTGTACTTCTTAGATGATATATCTTCATAAAAAATTATTTAAGCTTAAAATTTTTCATCATATAGCTCTTACTGACTTGGATTAGTAGGTAGATATTAATTATTGTAAGAAGACAGCAGGAATACACAGATGTACCCACCACCGGAAGTTGTCAATAGTTTTGCTCCATGGGGTATTTTCATCATTTCTCTAACTCTTCAACAAAGTCAGGGGTTTCTCCTTCACTGCTGTGAACCAGAAAAAGGATATTGAATGTGTTGTGCTTCATAAGAGAAAGTCAAACAATTAGTAGCAACTCCAAAGGGATAGAGCGTTTCTGTTAGAGAATAGGGAACAACTTAGAGAGTATGAATGGTTATGTAACTCGAAGAATGCAATCACTGAAAGGTGCATGTACAAACTGCTGGCTTGGTGTATGTTTTGCTGTGAATATTCTCAACATGGACAACAACGACAAATATATATATTACAAACAACAGTAGTGAAAATCTCCATATATTTTTTTGTGTGCGTGCATATGTACAAATAAACAGTTATGTGTGATGTTCATTGTTCTCTGTAAAGTACATTTTGGGCAAAAATATGTCCTCTGATGCTAGTGGATATTATTTTGTTGTTGTGAGCCATCGAGTCAGAATCAACCCATAGCTCACCCTCCATGGTGTTTTCAGAGGTGGTAAATTGCATGGGAGGAGAATGTGCATCCTTCTCCCACAGAGATCTGGTGGATTCAAACCAAATGGATATTAGAGAAGAGCATATTATTATGTGTAAATTACTATCTAATTCTAGAGGTTCAAAGTAATTCTTATAGAATTATAATTTGGTGGGATAAGAGAGTCCTTGTCGCTGATTTTCTCATCTAAACAAAATTCTTCTGAATGCTCATAGCTGAAACAAAAGCAATAGGACTATAAGAGAGTTACCTTAAGGTCTTAGGTTTCCTATTCCAGTATATACATATCGTAGAGAGAGAGGCATTTTATAGAACCCAAAATTATAAAAATCACTCATAGTTTCAGTTGGTAAAATAAGTGTATTGAATGTGCATGAGGAGTTGACAGGAGACTTCAAAGTTTCCCTATATTATCAAATTCCAATTTGACTGCACTTTTCCCTCTTTTGTTATTTTTTTTTTATTTTTATAAAATATGTCCCCAGATGCAGACTGAATGTGTCTATAGCCATCAGTCTCAGGCAAAGCAGGATGTTAGGATCAAGTGTATTTGAGCTATCACCCTGTCTAGGGCTCAACCCAGAGACACGGTTAACCACAAGGTTGGGAGCTCAAATCCACCAGCTTCTCCTCCAGTGAAAGATAGGCTTCCCTTAATATTTACAATCTCAAAACCTGATGGATAATTGCCACGGGTGAGGATAAATGTAATGATAATGAGTTTGGGTTTTGTCTTGTTTTTTGACTTGAGTAATGCCCAGATATAGTGTTTTTTACATTCTCCAAGTCATCTACTATGAAACAAGGTTAAAGATAACTGTTCCACATAGCATGTGGACATATGGAGCCCAAGTATGTCTATGCATAGAGTGCAAAGTAAGTTTATATGCAGAGCTCTATTTTGAAAGTCACAGAACATTTCTTATTTGATAAATTGTCTTTACCTCCTCTTCCCATTCAGAATTGAATTCAGGTACTTCTTCACCGCCATTTGTTTTCTGAGACGGGTGTAGTTGTCCGTGAAGACTGCATCAGAATGTCGTTTGATTGGTGTATTGTCTTCTGAGATGTTACTGCTACAGAACATGGTAAGAGGAAATCAAAGGAATTTAACAAAGGTACCAATGTTCCTCATACTTTGAAATTCTATACAAAAAAATTCTAGCCCAGTTCCTTTCTTGTTATTAAAAAAAAAAAACCCAACCAAACATGAAATGGAAAATACACTGAGTCAAAAGCTAGAGGAATGAGAAATAATGTGGTAAAGTTTTGCATATGCTAGGACTGTCTTAAAGCATATTCTGTATCTAAATAAATAACAGAATAAATAAATAACCAGATACTTGCTGCTACGTCCTACCATAGGAAGTTAAAGTTCTTTAAAAATAAAAGGGTGCTTTGGAAGCTATGCCTCTCTGCCAAGTGCCACTTAAATATCCTAATGACGCAGCTTTTGACAAGAGAAAAATACCTTCACCTTCCTTGCTTTGAACACGAAATACAAAAACAAGTCTTACAGTTGATCTGAAAATTGTCTTTCAGTTTTCACTATGTTTTACTTATTCTCTAATGTCTCTGGTTCGATTTGATGGCCAAATTGTTAGTTAAAAGTATTTAAGAAAAATTAAGTTGTGTCCGGAGGCACTATGATATTACCAGAAAGACTTATTTTCTTAATCTATATGTATGGTATATTTTACTTATGAAAATAATTTATTTTTATTTAGGTAAATCAAATATTACATAAAGATTATCAGTTTTTAAGCTTAAATTATTTATAGTAAAAAAATCCATCAATTTACACATTAAGTAATGATAATGCTTTTGATAAAAGTCATAAATTCCCCTTACCTAACTCGTTTCCCAATCAGGGACTCAAGGTATTTTTTGGCAGAAAGTTGGCCCAAGAGTCTGCTGTAGTCACTGGTAAAAACTCCATCAGCATGTCTTGCATTTCTAAGACAAAGAACAAAATATAGTTACTATTTTGTAAACCATTTCTACAATAGAATCTTGATCATTAAATGAAAAGGAACTTAGCTTATCATGAAAGCTGCCCAAGTTAAAAAATTTCCTAAAACATAAT